CTGCTTATTGCGGATTTGATGATAACCGCTTCTAAGATCAATCTTAGAAAACACTTTGACCTAGTAAGGCAATCTAACATATCATCCAATCTTGAAATTGGAAAGCGATACTTGATGATAATTTTGTTGATTACTTGGCTATCCACAGACATGTGTCATGATCCATCCTTCTTAGGTGTCAAAATGGTCGAAACACCACAAGGACTAAGGCTTAGCTAGATATACCCTTTAGCCAAAAGCTCTTCTACTTGCCATTGAAACTCCTCTTTCTCCTTTGGAGACGTGATAGGCCGGTTTATTTGGAAGCACCAACCTGGGTGCCGAATCAAGATGATGTTGGATGTCACACATAGGAGGCAAATCAGGAGGAAATTCTTGGGAAAAGACATCGGCATATTCTTCCAAAAGAGTAGCCACATCAACCTTTTCCTTAGTAGCATCCGTGTGCACAACTGAAACCAAAGCCAATATAACCCCAAAATCCCGAGTTTCTTCCAAAAACTCCTTGGAAGCAAGCAAGGTGGTAGAACTAGAAGATAGCTTAGAAGCAACCTTCTCCTTCATTGGAAGCAATGTAAAGTGGCTATCATCCTTGATAACGGTGTAAGTGTTCCGTTTCTATCATGCAAAGATTGCCGATCATATTGCCAATGATGCCCAACTAGAATCTGACAAGCATCCATAGGCACTACATCACACCATACCTCATTGAAATATTTCTTCTGGATAGAAAAAGAAATCAAACACCGTTTGATTACCTTGATCTCATTACCATTCTTGAACCAAGATAGAGAATAAGGATGGGGATGGTCCTCCACCAAAAGGTTGAGTTTAGCCACCACCTCTTGAGAAACCACGTTCTCACTACTTCCACTATCAATGATCATGTTACAAAGTCCACCAATGTTGCAAGTGGTAAAGAAAATATTGGTGCGCAACCAATCTTCTTGGCTTTCTAGTGATAGAAGTGTCTTCTTTAATATAAGAGCAAGATTCTCTTCTTCATCACTATCTCCACCAATTTCAATATTGTCCGATGTGTCATAAATTGGAGCACCCTCATAGTTATCATGTTCCTCAACTTCTTCAATAAAAAGTGTCTTGTTCCGACTAGTACCCATATTCTTGCGGCAATCGGAAGATCTGTGGCCCGATTCTCCACACTTGAAACACTTGAAAGTTCCACCTTGAGATAGATTTCAGTCTCCGGAAGCAACACCATTAGGACGAGGAGCTTGAGAGGAAGAAGCACCCTTATCCATCAACTTGGAACAAGGACTAGCTTTGGCAAAGCTATGAGGAGAAGGACTTGGCCTAAAACCACCTTGAAACCCCCCTTGGGAGTGTTGTACCATTTGAGAAGCACGACGACTTTGTTGCTTTTCCACGGCCAAAGCTCGATTATAGGCTTCAGAAACATTACACAATGTATGCAAGGCAAGAACATCTTCGATTGAAGGCTTCAAGCCACTCACATAACGAGCCACCCGTTGCTCTTCACTTTCATTTAAATCAATCTGAGCAATGAGTTGGTAGAAAGATTCCATGTATTCACCCACACTTCCAACTTGCTTAAGAACATGAAGTGCTTGGTAACACTTTGAAGGTAGTTGAATGGTAAGAAATGACCCTTCAACTTCTTCTTCATCTTCTCCCAATCACGAATTTTCTTTGCCACATCGCCAACGATTAAGTTGAAGTTGTTCCCACCAAGCAGAAGCTCTTCCTTTTAATCGAATGGCAACAAGCTTGACCCTCTTCTTGTCGGAAACCTCACCATAATCAAAGATCTGCTCGATAGTGTTAAGCCAATCAATGAATTCGTCGGGATTAAGGCTTCCATAAAAGTCAGGAAACTCAATCTTGATATTGTTCTCCCATTTGTGTTTCATCTTACCCATATTCGTTAGACGCCTTCGCAGAGCCCAAAAGAGATTATTAAAGGAATGACAAGTACCACCCTCGGTATCATCAGAGCCATCACTACCATCGGTAGGAGGAGGAAGGAGACATTGCACTGTCTCGGTTAGAATGGCGATTTGCCGTCTCATCTCGGCCATTTCATCAATCAGATATGGAACCCCATTACCCTCGATATCATCACCCAAATCCGGGCCCCTACCACGACCACCCCTACGACTTCAACCCTGATTTGCCATTGAAGTTCCCTAAATGCTCAAAGTCATAGTAGTCACAACCCAAACGAAGTTCAAGAATCACAATGTATATTCAAAACAATCAAATTCCAATTTTCAAATATAGACCAAAACCATAATAGAGTTCAAGAATCAATCAACAAGAAGAAATCCAAAATGATACACAGGAATTTGAAATCAAGAATCAATTCTAAAGCAGTTCTTTATGTTGGATTCAAAACAGTCCAAGAGATGGAAAGGGATGAACGAATTACCTATGTGACACTAGAATCAAAGTCGAGCAAAATCAATCAGAGAACAACTGGAGTTATGATGATTAGAAGTCCCCTTCGAACTTAGCACCACTCTCGTGATGACCTTAGAGAACAACCCAGGTAAGATTTTGACTCAAGAGAATAACCCTAGTTCTGATTTCGATTGGTGAAATCAGGATATTAGCGAAGTCGATCATTCCAAAATCAAGACCCAGATTGTCACAATCAAAGGCAGACTCAAATCACGAAGTCGCACTTAAGTAGTGGATCAAATTGCATGCGGATGACTCAAATCAAGTTGCGAGGAAGACCCAAGACTGACTCACAAACTCGATCATATGGCTATCAAGTCAAACCACAGGGTTCCTCAACTTCCAGCAATGAACCCAGACAAAGATTCAATCAGCGAAGTCAGGTATGTGAATCTGTGAAGCCAACTTTCAAGCAACAACAAAGGGTGTGAATTCCGTGGTAGGATCAAAATCTTTGCTCTAATACCAAATGATGAAGGGTCCAATCAAGAACAAGAGAGAGAGAGTGTGTAGAGAGAATATCTCAATCAATCAATGTTTTTTTTATCTCAAAAAAATTGGTTACAAAGTGGTTATGCTGCTTTTAGATATAGGCTACAATTTCCCTGCATTGACTATCACATGCTATGCACATGATATCCGACATCAAAAAGAGGGGGTAAAAGGAGGAAAGAAAAGAAGTGGAAGCGTCTGTCATATGTTCAGTTGCTCTAGAATATCTATAATCTAAGAGAACGAAGAAGAGGCACTAAGTGCAGTAGCAAGGATACCCGTATCGGCAAAATGAGAGGAGCAATTAGAGGAAGAAAACACTATGGGAGCTAAGATATCAAGCCGAGGAACCAGAGGCCTAAGAGTAAGCACCTTATCCTGGGAAAGAGCTCCAATGTCACTAGAAGCACTCCTGGAGGTCTTAGACACATGTGCTTGAGAACACATTATACCACTATGACACCACCTTGCCCCCGAGTATGGCGACCGTTCAACTTCCAATAATGCTCCCAACTATATTGCTCTTTTCCACAATAATCACAGTTAAGCAAGTTGCGATTAACAGAGCTGCACTTACCCTATAACTTAGGTTGGCCTAGTTTACTGTCATGTAGAGTAGGAATAACAGCCAAGGCAGAGCAGTCTTGACCAACAGAATTGCAATCTGGTGAGATAGCCAGTGCTATATGTTAAGCAGACGCTTCTCTCAAAGTAGGAAAAGGTTTGCGACCAAACACTTGAACCTGAATCTGATTATACTCCAAATTGAGGCTATCGAAGAAATCATAAACTCGTTCATTCTTCACCATTTGTTGAAACATGGTTGCATTGGTAGAACAAAGAGCCTAGTTCTAGTAATAGTAAGGTTCTGCTATAAGCTACTCAATTCACCATAGTACACAAAAAGGGATTGATCCTTCTGATCAAATTCATGAATTTTCTTTCACAATCATATGCCTATGCATCATTCCCCTTCTGAGATTATTTGTGTTGCTGCTGATCTTTTGTGCAGTATCCATCAATAAGATGGCACAACTGATAGTGGATTGTATAGAGTTAATCAACCAGGTCATAACAAGAACATTCTCTTACATGCACTTGGTCTGTGCGGGCCCATCTTCAGGAGGTTCCTTGAGAACCCCAATGATATAGCTAGTCAGACAATGAGTAGTAATTGCCAGGCTATAAGAAAATACCAAATCAAATAATTGGTACCATCAAATTTAATAGGGCTAATCTAAAGGGATGGGTTATCTTCAAGAGTCCAGTCACAACTCAAGCCACTCTCTTCGCTACCCTTGGGAGCCTTACTATCGTTTGTCATACCCACCAAATTGATTCTAGCACTTACAAAACCGACAAGCTTCAAGTCATCCTCACAAAGCAAACAAAAATCACCACCAAAAAGTAAAATAAAATAAAATTATAAATTAGAAACTCTCAGAGTGATGAAACTAGAAGAAATCAAAGAAGATTAGGCTACCAAATTATCAGTCAAACATGGGAATTGCGCGGAATCATAAAACAAGGGAAAACTATGATGGATAACCCTGCAGATTCAAAATTAGCACCCTAGTGTTATGATCCAAGCAATAGTTAGATCAAAATCTTCGCCAATTGGAAATTTTTTTAAAAAAAGGACCCATTTTCCGAAAAAAAATAAACAAAAATGGGGGTAGGGGGGGGGGACTGATGACTAAAAACAAATTTGAAAAAATTACCAATACCATCCTCTTTAACTTCAAGCATATTGGAAATTTTTTATTTTTTATTTTTTTCTCCTTGGATCAATGAAGAAAACTAAAAAACACAGGAAGACAACGATGATTTTATCTTTTCTTATAGTCCAAGAAAGATGTTGTGATACAAGGTTAATGAAGTTAAAATAGTTTGGAAAGGAGGAGAAGAATAGAAGAAACAATTTATTACTACTATAAGAGAGACCCAAAGAAATAGTTTAATAACATATATATTTATATTTAAAAAATGTAAAGGACATCAATACTGCTAAACACATAACATCTGTAACATAATGAAATATTCTTCTCTCATGTTGTATGATGCAGATTATGGGGGATCATTCTCAGATGTCATTCAGGGTGTGGAGCATACTGTTGAGAATTTAAGTTCAGACCAGATAACACCGTCAAGTTTCAAATATAGGATTGCACTCGAGAAACAGGTCATGCTCTTAAAACCAATTCCATTTAAGCAATATCAATTTGTCTCAATGCAACAAGCTTTATTTTGTATCTTTGGATTGAAAATATTGGCTTTTATTCGTAGAATTATTTCGATTAAAACATTCTTACATTAACCCAGTTGTCTAATCAGGCTTATAGTTTTGCTTTGCCTACTAAAATTTTGATCATTGTGGCTGTCAGAAGATGTCTGCATATGTATTAATTTTGTTCCTATTTGGTTCATAGTATTAGTTATTCTGATATTGGCCTTTGTTTTTTGTAATTTATTTTCCCAATGATACAGCGTATCTAGTTAATTCCTTCTAGATACATGTAATCCACATAAAACTTTGTGCTGGTTATAAAATCCATAATCATCAATGCTTCTTATAGTTAGCAAAGTCATTTTTGAGGGTGATGCTCTACATATAGAATTGACATCCGTATGTGCTGGTGTTTTACCGGCACTTATGGTACTAAAGAAATCACATGATCCTTGGTCTCCAAATGATGAGAACATGAGAGGAGCCATGCCTTTTTGAAATGGAATTGTAGGCTTTGAATCCCATTTATGTGATATTTGTTTCACATGAAAATAAAAATTAGCCAATAAATTTGGTTAGTAAAAAAAAGGATAATTAATTGAAAATGGGAAGAATAAGCATTTGTAATTTCACTAGAACATTTAGACCGGGTTTCAACTGAAAATTGTGTATTTCACCATGAAATAAATTTGAAATCATAAGTTGTAGGAAATTAGTAGGATTTCTCTCTCTCTCTCTCTCTCTCTCTCTCTATATATATATATATATGTATATTTCAATTCTGGAAATAAGACACAATTTTTGTCTAATTAAGTCAACTTTGCAATCTGGGGAGATAGCAAGTGCTATATGTTAGAATTAGGAAATAGTGATATTATAATTATGGAGTGTTGGAATTAGGAAATAGTGACATTATAATTATCGTAGTATGTATACAATCTGTGATTGTGTCAATCACAGATTTAATGTATTTTTTATCTTTGTTTCCTATTTTGTAATATTGTTTCATTATAAATACAAGGCTCTAACTCATTCATAGGTAAGCCAAAACAATTCTTTTCATCTTTTTTGATAGGGGTGTAAATCTAACCCTATCCATGTCGGGCCTTGTGGGCTTCCGTCAAAATTCGGGCCGGGCTGGACCGGCCCACAGGTTAAAAAATTAGGTCCAGGGGTATTCGAGCCTTGGGCGGACAGGCTTTGTGGGCCTGGACCTGGCCTTCGGCTTGGGCGGGCCTGACCATTTTTTTTTTTTAAATTTTTTCTACCAAAATTTTATTGTTTTCCACCAAAAAAAAAAAACGCTAGGCATCGGGCAGGTTGGGTCTTAAGCGGGCCGATAGGCTGGGCCACGGATTAGGCCAGGCGGGCCAAGCTTCAAAATGATGGCCCAGGCCCTAGCCCAAGGGCTCGGGCTGTGATCGGTCTCGGGTCTAAACGGGCCTGGCCCACCCCGGGCCGCCAGCGGGCTTCGAGCCGCCCATGGGCAGCAAGCCATTTTTACACTCCTACTTTTTGGTATCAGAGCCAAAACGCAGAAACCCTAGACCACCCCTTCCTCCCTGTTGGCCCCTATTCTTCACTGCCCAATAGTTTCTTCATCTTCTTTCTTCCTCCAACAACCGATAGACCTCCTCTATCCTCTAGACCACCCGATAGCGTAACCCACCACTCCTAGACCACTCGAAACCACTTACCCACCCTCCTATACCCCTCGGCAAGACTGCATTACATCTGCCGAGGGCCTTACTACTGCTGACCAGGGCTCATCTTGGCCTAGAGTACTTCGACACCCTCTTTAGGGTAGTCTAAACCATTTTTCTCTCTTTTACAGGATATAGTGCTGATGCTTTAAGCACTTTTCTCTACCACTTTTTGCCTTTTCTTTTTTGTGGGCTACCAGGTTTATTCGGTAGCATTTAGCCGTTGAGTTTTTTTTGGCTTTTCTGGTTGTTTACTTATACTGTGTTGCTGTATTGTTGTCTATTTCAGCCCTCATCGTCTCTCTATAGATAACTCATCTTATACCATTCCTACTGAGGTATCTACTGCGGTCTCCACCAAACCTGTGCCTGTTCCAAGTACTGATTTTTCTCTTTCCCATCACACTCCTATTCATCGTATTACGAGTGGTGTTGAATGGGAAAATTTTTGCTATTTGGAGCCGTTCCCTTAAACTTTATCTTAGGGAAAAAGGAAAGGCTCATTGGCTTTTATCTACTATTACCCTGCCAGCTGCGACAGACCCTACTCATGCTTAGTGGGATATCGATAACTGCACTATATTGGGATGGATGTTCAATTCCATGGAAGATCGGATTTATCATATGTTCCTTCATTGCAATACAGTTCCAAGTTTGTGGTAGGCATTGTCATAGATGTACGCTCATGCTCACAATGATGCACGTATATTCAAGCTTTACCAGGATATAGCTTGGGCCTCTCAGTCCTCTCTTGGCCTTTCTATAGTTGAATTATTTAGGTATCTTCAGGCTCGTTGGGAGGAACTTGCTCAATATGAGCCTTTGACTGACCTTCTACCAGAAGTCGCCTCCCTTGTGTCCAAGAGGCTTGCTCGACAACACACTTATCAGTTTCTTATGGGTTTAAACTCTGAATTTGAATCTCTTTGAATTCAAATTCTAAACACATCACCCGTGCCATCTCTTTATGAGGCTTTTGCCACTACTGACAGTGATGAGCGTCGTAGGCGATTGGTTCAGCCTAGTGTTCCTTCAGTCCTTCCAATTTTAGCAGATTAGATGGCTTTTGTTGAGAGTTCCACCGGTTCTGTTACTTGTCATCATTGTGGTTTGCTTGGATATGTCAAAGCCCGTTGCTTCAAACTTCATCCTGAGTTGAGGCAACGCCCTTCCCGTCCTCGTGGTCCTGCTCCACGTGGTTTTAGCTCTGCTCGCACTATTGCGTTGGTGGATATTACTCCCGCTTCTGAGCCTCCTAATGTCCCTAATCTACAACAGTTACAGACTCAATTGGTTAGCTTCAGGCTCAACTTGGGTCCCTCACCATTGGTTCTCTTAGTCCATCATCCTCTACTGCCACCATTGCTACAGGTACTTCTACTGCTTTCCATGTTCGGTCTACTAGTCCTTCATGGATTCTGGATTCTAGGGCTAATGATCATATGACTGGTGAGTTTTTTTTTTCTTTCCTCTCCTGAACCCACCACTGCTGCCCAATCTGTGTCTTGCTGATGGTTCTTGCTCTTCTGTCCAATATAAGGGTGTTGTGTCCTTATCCCTTGATATCACTTTATCTTCTGTGTTGCATGTTCCCAGGTTTACTTATAATCTCTTATCTGTTAGTCGTATTGCCAAAACCTTTAACTGCGCTGTCATCTTCTTACATTCTTTGTGTCTTTTACAGTACTTGAGTTTGAAGAGGATTTTGGTAGGGGATATGAGCACGACGAGCTATACTACTTTGGGAATCCATCGGACCAGCCTTCTTCGACTTTAGCCAGTTTTTAGGCGTCTGTTTTGCCTCTTATATCTTGTGCTTTTTATGTTCAAATTTTAGAGTTATGGCACACTCGTATGGGTCATGTTAACTTTCAATATTTATGTGAACTTTTTCCTTTATTAAATAAAGCTTGCAAGGATTTTAAATTTCATTGTGTTACTAGTGAGTTGTCTAAACATATCTGTACTAGTTATATACCACATATGACACAGGCCACTAGTGCTTTTGACCTTATTCATTTTGATGTTTGGGGTCCCTCTCCTATTCCTGCTTTTTCGGGTCATCATTATTATGTGACTTTTATTGATGATCACACTAGGTGCACTCGGGTCTATTTACTTCACCATAAATTTGATGTGTTTCCCATCTTCGTTCAGTTTTTACAAATGGTTAAGACATAATTTCATACAATTGTTAGGAACATCCGCTCTGATAATGGTGGGGAATACATCTTCAGCGAGTTTCATTCCCACCTTAATCAAACGGGTATTCTTCAACAACTTACATGTACTCGGACCCCTGAACAAAATGGTGTAGCTAAACGTTAAAACCGTTAAATTATGTCTGTCATACGTTGTCTTCTTTGTGGTATGCATGTTCCCAAGTCTTATTGGCACATGGTTGTTCGTACTACTATCTATCTCATTAATAGGACTCCTAGTTGTGTTACATGGCCTTACCCCATTCCATATTCTTAGGCCTCAACCCCTTTTCCCCTTTTACCTTGTGTTTTTGGGTGTACATGTTTTGTTCAAGACTGGCATCCCAATCGCACTATATTAGATGACAAGTCTATTCGTTGTGTCTTTTTGGGTATTCTTCCATGTCTAAAGGATATAGATGTTTTGATCTTGTGTCTCATCACTGTCACCACACTCTGGATGTTATTTTTTGTGAGGATCTTCCTTTTTTAATCCTAGCCCCCCATTGCAAGTTTCCCTTCAGATACTCCGAGTGTCTGCTCGGTTCCCATTTTGGACGAGGTTGCGGATGAGGTTGCCCTCCTCTCTCATCGTCTATCTTCGCCTCCTTTCCCTCTTTTCCATTGTAGGTATACTCTCGCTGCCCTCGTGCTCAACCCCTTCCTGCCGCCTCTCCGAATCCTGGATCAGGTAATTATTTCCCTTTACATACCTCTCCTTCCCTTGTTGTGATCCTCCTCGGGATCGACATCCCCCCGGCCATTGAGGTTATCTGTGCAGTACTGATCATCCCATCTTCCAGTATCTCTCAGATGACAGGGTTTTAGACTCATCATTCTTTCCTTGGCAAGATTGAGTCCAAATCTATTCCTCAATCTGTGTCAGAGAATCCAAAATTGGTGGCAGCCATGCAGACTATAATGGCAACTTTAGAACAGAATCATACTTGGGATTTGGTTCCTTTACCTTCTGGCGAGAGTACCCTAGGTTGCAGATGGGTCTTTGCTATTAAGTACCTATCTGATGGCTCTGTTGAATGTTATGAGGCCCACTTAGTAGCCAAGGGCTTCACTTAAGTTCCTGGCAAGGATTTTGGTGCTACCTTTGCCCCAATTGCCAAGCTTACATCTGTTCGTCTACTCATCTCCCTTGTAGCATCCCATTCTTGGCTTTTTTATTAGTTTGATGTTAAGAATGCCTTTCTACATGAGGATCTTCTTGAGACGATTTATATGGCCCTTCCGCTTGGTTTTCGAGCTGAAGGGGAGTATTCGAGGAAAGTATGTCGACTGTGCAAGTCTTTGTATGGCTTGAAGTAGTCTCTACGAGCTTGGTTTGGTCGTTTCAACTCAGTCATAATCTCCATGGGCTTTGTTCAATGCCATTCAGACCATACGTGCTTCGTCTGTCATAATTCTGTAGGTCGGTGTATAATCTTGTTGGTGTATGTGAATGATATCATTCTCACTGGTGATGACTCTATAGGCATTGATCATGTAAATGGGATTTGGGACACACCTTTGATATTAAGGATTTAGGGAATCTCAAGTATTTTCTAGGGATTGAGGTGGTTCGCTCATGGCAGGGGATTTCCTTATCTCAAAGGAAGTATACTCTTAACTTACTTAAGGATACCGGTATCTTGGGGTGTAAACCTATTTCTACTCCTATGGATCCCAATGTCAAGCTCACATCAGAGTCTGGCGAATTACTAGAGAACCCAGGCATGTATCAGCATCTTGTTGGGCGTCTCATCTATCTGACCAATACTAGACCTGACTCGACATTTGCAGTTAGTGTGGTTAGCCAATTCATGCATGCACCTTGCACAGAACATCTTGATGCGGTTCATCACATCTTGAGATATTTGAAGACCTCTCCTAGCTTAGGATTGTCCTTCATAGCTGATCCTCAATTTGGACTCTCCTGTTTTACTGATGTTGACTGTGGAGGATCTAGAGCGGATAGGTGTTCTACTTCTGGCTTATGTACTTTCTATAATGATCATCTTATATTATGGAAAAGTAAGAAGCAAGCAGTTGTTTCTAGGTCTTCTACAGAAGCTGAGTATAGGGCTATGGCACAAGGCACTTGTGAGATTCCATGGCTACGTTCTATTTTGGCAGAGTTGGAATTTGAGGAGACTGCTCCTGCGTTGTGACAACAAGTCTGCTATTATGCTGTCTCCTGATTCTGTCCTACATAAGTGTACCAAACATATAGAGGTTGATATACGTTTCATTCGACAGAAGGTTCGGATTGGTATTGTGAGACCATCCTTTGTCTTTTCTTTTAAGCAGTTAGCAAATATCTTCACCAAGTTTGTAGGCCCAACATCACTCCAGTCGTCTATCGGCAAGCTGCATTTATTGAATATCTTCACACCAGCTTGAAGGGGAGTATTGGAATTAGGAAATAGTGATATTATAATTATGGTAGTATTGGAATTAAGAAATAGTGATATTGTAATTATGGTAGTGTGTATAAAATCTGTGATTATGTCAATCACAGATTTAATGTCTTTTTTATCTTTGTTTCTTATTTTGTAATATTATTTCATTATAAATACAAGCCTCTACCTCATTCATAGGTAAGCCAAAACAATTCTTTTCATCCTTTTCTATATGCCCCCATCTTTGTAGTCGTGGGTTCGTGTGCGAAGAATTAGAATCTGCAACTTGACTTGAATATTTAGATAGGGTTTCAACTGAAAATTTTGTGTTTGGCTAGGACTTGAATTTGAAATCATAAGTTGTGGGTTTGTAGGACTAATCTATAAAATAATCTAGAAACAAGAGGCAATTTTAGGACTCCTTATGAAAAATTTAGAAAGAAGATTCCTGTTTTGGTTATTATTTTGTATGAATTCATAAGATTCTAGGAAATAACGTTTATAATTAACTTTTCTTTTTTGGTTGTTTGTTTTTCTTCAGGCTGAGTTTATTGTTTAATTTATTTACTTGGTTGTTACAGCTAACCTCAACCATGTTGCATGTGCTTGCCCTTGCTTCGAGTGCTGATCATCCTCCTGTAAAAGATTTTCTTGTGAAAGTAAGTATTCATAGATCTGCAGATATTACCCAAAATTCTGGGAAAGCTGGAATAACTTCCAATTTATAATTGTCTTTTCTGTTAATCATTTACAGCAATTGCATTGAGTGTTTGGTGCCCCTCTGCGGGGTGAAAAGTTTCAGTTGCATTCTTAGATTAACATAAAATAAAAAAAAATAAAAAAGGAAAAAGAAAATAAACAATAAAAATGCCCCTCTGGAAATATATAATTTATTAAACAAAAGAAACGAAACTTGACCGCACAGCTTTTTTTTAATCCCATTTTTAGATTAGCTATTGAATTATTAGCATTTCTAAATTATTGTTGCGTTTAAAATCCATATAACCTCTGGGAACAAAAGAAAAAGGACGTGGGATAAGGGTTGGAAAGTGTTTCCTTCATTTCTGAGGAAAAGTTGCAGTAACATTTTTAGACTAATATTTTCTCCAAATTCATTCCCTTGTATCTTTGGATTTACAATCCATTTGTAATGTGGAATGGCTTGAGGAAGAAAAGGAGAGAAGGGGGGAAGGGATGGAGGTGAAGGCTGGAGAGAGTTTCCCTTATTTGTTAGTAAGGAAGGAGAAAAGACCACCAAGGGTAGACCAGTTTTGTTCTCAAAAGGGTGCAGAAGAAAGGTGGGAAAGAAAGGAAGCCTTTCTTTTATCTTTTTTCCCTTCAAATAGCAATCTTGTGCTAGTATGCTGGGGTATCAAGGTAAATTAAAAGAGAATACTCTTTTTTTTCTCCTGCTTGGCTCAACCAAAAGAAGAGGAAGGCAGCTTCCTTTCCCTAAGGATATCTTTCCATTTCTCGTACCTTGTCGTCCTTCCAATTTCATACCTTGCTAACCTGAGTAAGCAAAACTCAAATTCTGTGGCTCATTTTCGTTTGTTTCTTTCAGAAAGCATCTTTTCTCGAGGAGTGGTTTAAGATGCTATGCTTGTCACTAGGGGAGACAAGTACTCAACTTGAGGCTGAAAATAATTCCACCGAGAACCAAAAGAAAGGCATGATATCCAGAGCAATATGGTCACTAATTGAAGTGTATGAAAGCAGGGATCATCTGGCCACTGCACAAAAATTCAACAAGTTGGCCAACAGCATACCATGAATCACCAGGTCTGGTTCTACTTTTGCCTCTTGATTTTTGTTTGAATTGGTCGTTGGAGGCAGATCTCTGTCCAATAGTTATTGGTAAACCTTTTACTGCCTTGGCTTTTTTAAAGGTCAACTGATGCTACCTTGTGTGCATATTTTGGCTGTTGGAAAAGTCAGGAGCCATAGTCCTGCAATGGGGTAATAAGCCATCGCAATTGTGAGCAATGAAGTGGAGGATCTCCTGTAGTGCATTGGCAGAGGGACCTCTTTGGATGCGGAATTCATGTTTGTGCAAGGTGTCCACTGGAACTCAGCACTGTAGCTTGATTTTGTAAGCAATAAAAGAGAACAATTTTGTATATTTTGGAAGGTGATATTTAACAAGTGCCTTCTTAAAGCTGTGTTGTCAGACTAGGATGTTGAGGCTTGAGATGTGTAAGGTGTCATTGGTTGTACATATGTATTACTATTTGAAAGGTTTGATAAACAGCCACGGGCGGTGGCTGTCATCTGTGTTTACAAGGGCAATGAATATTTTACCATTTAGGTAAGCCATGTTTTCTTTTTCATCATCTTTTTGGTTTTTCGTTTTCTTTTTTACCGGTGAATTTGTTACTTGTTAAGAATAGATGAATGCTGCATGTGCTACTTGCCAAACAAAACAAAAAAACGCTGTATGTGCTGCTTACAGCTCACCCGTTTCTGATATTGACGACGTGAACAATGACTTGATAGAACAAGTAGCTTTCTAGATTTGAGTAAAGCTTCAGAGTTGGAGAATATTCCTTTCAAATATTGATTGTCATCAATGAAAATTATGAACATGGATGGGGATTAATGCTGCTACGGTGGGCCAAACTCTATTTGTTTTAACTATTCCAAGTGTATTGTACCAGGAAAAGGTGCAAGTATTACACTATTAGCCATAAGGTAATGGTCCCACGTCAGTTACTTGATGACGCATTGCCTATGATAGCAACAGTTGGGATAATAGATTGTGTCAGTTGATAACGCATCAGTTAGTTAGAGTGTCAGTTGTATCAAGTTAGTTTGAGTGGCTGTTAGTGGATTCTCTCTTCTTTCTCTATATATGATGTGTATGTTACAATGGTGTATCAGATCGATTGATTCTAGTGGGAGATCAGATGATAAGATTGAAGCTCTTCTTTCATAGATCTGTATTTTGCATTCTCTATATATGTATTTTTCTTTACATCAAGGTTGTCTCCACTTTACCCGCACAGAATGAGGACACAAATGCCATAAATAAAATGTTGTCCAATTCAATGAAGGCAGTGTTGTTTAGACAGCACCTGCTGCAAAATCATATACTTGAGAAATTTTTCTATCTTGAGTCACTCTTAGATCATGAAATATGCTGAAATTGTTTCTTACCAAGTCCCAACAGAGCATAGAGGTTATATCTTTGAAAAAAATATAGAAGTGGTCGCTTATTTTAAAAATTATTTTTTGCATAAAAAATCATTTTCAAATGGTTGTTTTTTGGCAATCAGGCCAAACAACTAGGTTCAGCTACTGTATGATCATTTTTTTCGAATAATTACAATGACTCCTATCGGGGTTTATTTTTAGTACATTTTTTTTCACATTTTCGAAATTACATTGACTCGCATTCAGTTTTGGTTTTGTGGGATTAATGGAAATTATAAAATTATTGTATTACCCTTACATCACATTGTAGCAACACAAATACCCTCAAACTATCTATCATATATATATATATATATATATTTTCATACTAATACATGACATTAATACCCTCATCCTATCTATCTTTTATCTTACCTTGTTTAAACCATACCATTTCTCCAAACTTGCATAATTCCTCCTCTCCTTCATAGCACCTCACCAACCCAACCTTCTGTACAAAAGCCCAGAGTAAGCTAACTTGATTACTGTTTTATCTCTACGTTTTTCCACACCTGTTCAGCAACACGGATCGAGTATTGCCACTTAGCCCTTACTATGCCCGTCATGAATGACCACCACCACCTACCTTCTCACTCCCCCTTTCCATTCCCACTCTCGCAATCATTCCCACTATGACTAATCACTATCATCACCTTTCTCTTCTATCTACCACCCCATTCATCAACCATCACCACCAAAATCACTATCGACATATTCCACACCTTCCATAAAACACCACTTAGAAAAACCATCAAAATTAAATTCCTAAATACCCAAATTAAGCACCCAAAATCAAACCTTAAGTCATCATAATCATATTGAAGATTTCCCATGTAATCATAACCTTGAAAGCTTTTTATGAGACAAGGTTGAAATCCCTCACCCCACACATCGGTATCCAATCTTTGGTCCTTCCTCTATAGTAGGACCCATCACCAACCTTTTTCTTTACCCACCACCACCAATAATTGACCGAACCTCCAATACACTTGTACTGTTGATGGCCACAAATTCCCAAATTAAACCTCCGAAATAGACCTTGGCGAAGACATCTCCAAACTAGGCCACAAAATCCATTGACAAAAACATCTCCAAGTCATTATGCCATCAACAACAAGAATATCTGCTCATTTTTCCCTAATAGTGATTGTTGTGCCATCTCTAGCTTGTGGAAAGCTCTTTCAGTGATGGTGATGATGGTTCATCAGTGGCAGATGTTGGTGGTAAGGAGGATTAGCGGAAGTTTTTTGGCGGTGATGGTCTACTGAAAGATGTTTAGATGCTAGTTGCAGTTGATGTGATGGAGGGATGGTGGTTGGTACAGGGGATGGTACCCTTGGTACATACCATGAGTCTTGGCTACCATGAAAAAAAACAAAGGGTGTTAATGTATATTTTGATATTTTTGTTTTACTATGTTTAAGAAAACTAACCAATGAGCTTGTAGCCCATGACCCACCTCACTAGTCAAGATGGGGGTGGCTTTGATAAAGAGCTAATGTTTTGATTTGTACAACTAGCCACCCACAACAATTGTCTATTAGCGGCTCCCCTCCCCCTTAGGAGTAAGCTAGATATATATATTATGATTTGGAAAGAAAAAAAAAATTATACATATCATATACTCAAAAGATATAATAAATATAATCAAGGGTGAGTAGAATAGGATTGGGAAAGAAAGCCCACTCCTACCCCCACTTCATTAACATGGAATAGGAAAAATTATCATGCTTAACAGGGGGGGCCTTTTTAATGTGATTATAAATTTTAAGGATACAATAATGTAATTTGGAAAATTTATTAGAAAATTCTTTTTCAAGGGTTTGTATCCCAATTAATGCATAAGATATTCTTATATTTTAATAAGTCCTATTATTTGGACATTTGATCTACCAAATCCTAATTCTCATATTTAAAGTATTTTATGGATATTTCTACTCTTACAAATATATTTTGAACAGTTAGCAATTTGGTGATGTGTACATTCGTATTTTACAATGTGAATATTCACATTAACGTGTGAATGTTTGCATTGACAATGTGAATATTCACATTGACATGTTAATTCACATTGATGGTGTGAGCATTCACATCACAGAACATTTACACTAAAATGTGGATATTATTAGGAGTATTTTGGTAATTATGTCACCCATAGGACTTATTAGAACATAAAAAAATAATGTGGACTAAATGAAACATAAGTAGGTAAAAAGGGATTTATGAAAAATTTCTCCATGTAATTTTCATAGCTATGAAGGGTACTAATGAATTAGTAAGTAGCGCTTGCAGTGTCAACCATAAATTAATTGCTAAAAACATTATAAATAATAACATATTGGACTAGTACAAGTTGCAAATCCGCATCTCCGAACTCAAATGGAAGCACAATCATGCACATATCAAAAAGAAAAACAATGATCACACAACAATTTACGTAGTTTGACACAAACTTTCCTACATCCACAGAAGAGAGAGAAATCCATTAGCTGAGCCCTGAAACAATGCCCATTTTCCTGCTAAATGACAATTGAGCCCTGAAGCCACATTCACTTTCCTACTCACACCTAGTGCCCTTGGTTATTTTTTCGTCTCTCTCTTACATCTCTACATCATTTCCAATCTCATGTCTCTAGAATTCTCGTAAGGTTTTTTTTTTTTTTTTTTTTTAATCTTTTTTATAGGCAAATCGTAGATTCCAGAATCTACACCCCAATCCAAATACATGTAAAACACGAACAACTATATAGGTCTTGTAGAATACAAGATAGATTTCGACTGCATAATTATTGCGCGACCACCGTGTTTTGAAACCTGCAGATAAAAGAAAGTTGCAGCGAAATAAAAAAACTGCAGGTATAGAGAAAAAAGCTGCGGATCAACCTTGGCTTAGAAAACTCACGTAAATCTCAAACTAGTGCAATTACATTGGTCTCATCCACTGGGACATGACCACTCCTGCCTTTCAAATCAGAAAACTATCAAAACAGGGCTCGAAAACTGTTTAACATAATTTTTTGAAATCATTGTCCGCATATGCTCATGTTTTGTGATTCAAACTTGTAGGGATGATGACTTTGCCTTCGATATCAAAGCATCAATCCCCCTGCGGCACACATGTGAAACACGCTCGCCATCCACATATCCTGCACTTTGTAACACTCACCTTTTCGCGTGAAACACGTCTAGCTTGCTTATCATTATCCTCTCCTCCATTCACGAGAAATATGTTTGGATGTGCACATTGGGTTTACCTCTACCAACTGCCGCTTGAGATTGGAGTACTCAATTGCTATGACTGCTGGTCATATGCAAGTTCTTGGTTACATGCTTTTATAAGTTTGATACTAATTAATAATTTTAGTATTAATTGATATTAATTAATTTATAATGGAAAAAAAAATTGTTACAATAATACTTCCATTACATTTTTATCAAATGTATCAATTTTTATATTAGTTGATACTATTTAATACTAATTATATTAACTTTTATTAATGAAATAATTTTTTAAAATTAAAACTGAAAAAAATGACAAAATTATCATTTTTCTATCATATAAGGGCAAAAAGGTCAATTATACAGAAAAAGTTATTTTACAGCTTATCAACCAAGCACTACTTTGCTATTTAAATCTATAATCTCACAGCTGCACCAAACAGGTCAACAGCTTATGTTCACAGTTATAAGTTATAATCTGTTAAACTATAATCTATAATCACTTTTCTACAGCTTTACCAAACGGGGCCATAGAAGACAGCTGGGATGCAAAAGCACAATAAGATGATGAAATTGATGTAAGGAAACAAAATTAGAGATAGAATATTAAGTACATGACCTCACACCCTTATGAAGAGCAATAGGAACATGAAGATCAGATTCAACACAAGAAATAAGTGCATGATTAGAGGATTCAAAATTAGGTACAAAAAAACAATTACCTAAGTCATAGGATTCAGATTGGCAAGGCAGAGGAAGAGGGACAGCCTTATCCTTCTGTTGTCTGGAATATACTTTTGACTCTCTAGAAGGCATATCATGGTCATGCACAGGTTCCTTCTCCATTGAAACCTCTTGCTCAGGCTTCTTAAAACTTGGATCCAATGATGGACTTAATGACACAACAGGGAGCCCAGGTGGG